CGGAGGGCCGGATATCGGCAGATGCGGTTTTGACGTATAGAGGTGGCGCGTGATGGACGCGTTAAACAGCCAGATTTTTCTCTCTCAGACTCCGCGACGCGTGGCCTTTTATAGTTTACAGCGCGGGTGGTCAGAGTGGGGAGCAATCGCTCGCAGTTCGGTTCGAATTTTCGTGCAAAACGGCCCGGCGAGTACCAACGCTCAATAACGGTCACGTGTATTTGGCGTTTTTTCTTTCATTCGCCGTGCCGTCAGCTCGCGCGGATGCCTTGTTGTCAGGCAGCGGTCACCAACAGTCTTCCGAAAGTCGTAGCTCACCGAACAGCCCGCCCGAACGCAAATCGCACGAACAGGAATTTTTTCGAAATACATCGTACTATACCATTGTAGAAATCTACACGAAGTAATATTTTAATTTTTGTACAAAAAATACGTTCCTTATTGTCTACAATTTCATATCCTACATTATTCACGAAAATAAATGTTACTTTATTTTGTACAGTAGAATTTTTAAATGAATGCATAGTAATCAAGTTTTGTTGGAAACATTATTGTGGAAGATTTTAGAGTGGGGTTGCATGTCGATTAAAATGAAATGTACGTGTTGAATTTACTGTAAATAATAAATGAGCAAAAACGAATTGATGATTGAGAAAGACTGTCTTTGCCTGCATAAAAAAAAACATTAGCGGGTCCAACGAGTCTAAGGGCCTTTGCTGTTTGTCACCGAAGGACAAAGCAATAAACACGATGCAGGCATAGAGTTTCTTTTTCAAGTGGACGACACATTGTCTTCACGTGCAATTTTCATAGCGATAGAACATCCTTTCTAGCCGTAAAATAAACTTCCCAGGTCGTTACAAAATAAAGACTTTTTCATTTATCCACCCATTTGAAATAGTATGTACTGCTAGATATTTGATAGTGCAATAGACTTTCCTCCAGGCCGAGGTCTTCTATCGTCATCCGCTACGCCGCACAGTGGTCCGGATCGAGATATTTTGCGACATTATGCCGAGAAATAAATTTTGTAATATCGAAATTTAATGAATTACTATTGTTTCTTGAATGTTCAACAGCCTTAAAAATAGAAATGTTTGTGGAATTTATTGAAAATTGTAATTTGTCGAAGCCTTTAAAGTTGAACGATTTAAAACTACCATTTTCACCGCAAGAAATTGCTTTTCCTCATTGAAATGCTTTTACAGTTCCGTTTAATATTTTCATTCCGTTTTTTCCTTTTAAATCAAGAGTATTTCTTTCCAGTGAAAAACAATGCTTTCATTAATAATGCAGGACTATGTTTAAAGAAAATAGAAGTGCGAAACGCGACCGGGATACAATTATACAGGGTGTTCGGCCACCCTTGGGAAAAATTTTAATGGGAGATTGTAGAGGCCAAAATAAGACGAAAATCAAGAATACCAATTTGTTGATGGAGGGTTCGTTAAAAAGTTATTTACGACAGGCAAAGTCGAAAAGGCCACTTTTGAGAAAGCCGTTTCTTACGAGTTTTATTAGCCAGCATGTTTTTCGTCGAAGATTTCTAACGGCCCTCAGTGGCATATTGCACATGTCATAAACCAGGGATTTCCGAAGGGCTGCAACGCCAGGTCAAGCGACCCTCGGTGGGTGACATCACCAGGCCTGGACTTGGAGGAAATTCCGCTGCATTGCCAAACTTCCGTCGACAAAGCTACCCCCACCGGGTTACATCGCCTTTCCCAAAAAGCGCGTCAAGGGCGCAAGGAGTAGGCGGTGACTTCGGAATTGCAAGATGCTTAATTGGTTAACTTCGACGCATCGGTTGAACCAATTAGGCGACTGCAAAGAGTTCGAGGAAAAAATTATTTTGTACAGAAGTCAGTCTTCGCCACGACACCCAGTGAACAACACCTTCAGAATAAAGAATACAAGGCGAACTTTGCGATTGCATTTAAGACCCATTCTTATCCTCACACGCAACCACTTCATATACAAATTTATCCATAATACCATCTATAAAAACTAGTCCTCCAAGTCCGGAGGAACTCGTACAACCCCATACTAATACACTACCACCCCCGTGTTTAACAGTTGAGACTATGTTATCTGAATCCAACTCGGTATTACGTTTTCGCCATATTCTTATTTCACAATCAGATTTAAAAATATTAAATTTACTTTCATCAAAGAAGAGTACTCTATCCCAAAATTCTAAATTTTTGTGTAGATACATTTCTGCAAACCCTAATCTGTTTTTTCGATTACTTTTGCTGATCAATGGTTTTCTTCTAGCCACTCTTGAATTGTACCCGGCACTTTTAAGAACTCTCCGAAAAGTGAAAGAAACGACAAATGAAGAGAAAAAAATAATACTAAATTTATATAAAACGCAAAAATCTTATAATGAAATATCACACATTGTTAATAGAAGTTGTATTATTATTAGAAGCACCGTAAAACGATTTATAAATCAATCAGATTTTGATAGTGCGAATCGAAATGGTCGTCCTCCCAAGTTATGTGTTAGAGGAAAACGTAAAATTGTACATGAATTGAAGAAAAATCCTAGGTTAAACTCTTCAGAACTCGGAATGACATTAAATAAAGAGTGCCGAAGAAGGAAGTTTGAAAACTGTGGAGGGGGTATGAAAAGCTGTCGCATATTCTGCGTGTGTTGCACGAAGAAAACCATATATATCGGAAAAAAATCGAAAGATGAGGGTTCAATTTGCCAAAGAATTTATAAGGAAGGATTCTACATTTTGGAGGAACGTACTGTTTTTAGACGAAAGCAAATTCAATATGTTTGAGAGTCGTGAAATTGTAACAGTATAATTGCCGGTTAGGTGGAAGGGTCCGCAAAAAATGAATATGGTGCAAATGCTCAACAAGGTCTTTAATTCAACAACAACAATTACTATTTTCAGCAGATCTGAGTTTGAATCGCGAGCGTTACTTTGAATAGTTCAACACGCAATACGCGCTGAATCTTGTGTGAGAGATGAGAGACTTACATGAAACACAAAGTAAACACTGTTGAGCATAAAGGAAACACTGAGAGTTACAATGAGCATACAGTTCACAAGGCTGTTCGAACCAGACTAGGACCATGGCCGCGCTCTTGGCCCCCACGAGGTATCGACCGGCTGGCAAAGAGATCGTTGCGCGTGCACATCACTTATGTGCAAATGCCCATAACACTGTTCTACAAATTAAATTTTTTTTTCTGTTTTTCAATACCCACTAGGTGATTCTTGTAGAGCTTTGTACCCTAAACACGAATCTGAAAATGGAATTGCTGTATCACCCTCAGTTTTCGAAAAACACGAGTTTTTGTGAAAACGTATAATTTTGGGCAAAAGCAAGGTATTACGCGAAAATTAAAAACATCAGAGAGTTCCAATTAATCTTAAAAGATAGAGGAGAGATTCCTGAATATACTAACATCGATAGTTATAATATTTTGTACTTTTGAACGGTTGTAAATGATCGCCAAAGTTTGAAAAAGTGTCGAAGTACATACTTTATACACAATACTTTTGCATATTTACGAAAAGTTGTTTACCTGACACGAAATCTATACACAGGATCTGATTCTGCAGACATTTCTAAAGAAGAAACTGTCCAACAGAAGTGTAAAAGCTGTTCTCAATTGTCACAGGTCGAGAAAATGTGTATTTGCAACGCGTACACGACGTTTGACCGCCACGCGGCCATCGCTTGCCTATCTCGGCGCGGCAGTGCCGTAGCTACGCATAATGGATGCAGCACCGATAATATCTTAGGCTCCCAATTCCTGTATATGTTTATCATGTTTGATTTTTTAATCTATTTGTGGATTTATAAAAAACATTTCTCGGTCATTTCCATTTCTAAACAATTTCGATGTTCATTGTATGTATATGAATGGTTTTTTAAATATAAAGCCGTAAAAAAATAAACAACATTTTATTGTTTATGAACCAACAAAGTTTTTGTTGTTATGACTAGATTGTAGAAGAAAAATGAAATATATAAACTGAAGAATTACCTGCAGCGTTTCCACAAACACGTTTAGAAATGCTTGTGTCTTGCGTGGCGTTTGTGTGCAGCATCTTGAGTATCATTCTTAAGTGTCCAGCAATAATCTGCAAGCATTGTAGTAATCTTCTTCCCCTTATATCGATTTTCTATGGCGGAAATATCTTGATGGAAGCGTTCTCCATGCTCGTCACTCACATCAACAAGGTTTGCAGGGAAAAAATCCAAATGTGAATGTAGGAAATGTAATTTTAAGGACATGTTGCAGCCCAGTTTTTCACAGTTTTTTAATAATTTATTCGCAATAGCAACATAGTTCTTGGACCTCTGTTTGCCTAGGAAACATTCTGTCGTCTTAATAAACGAAAGCCATACCGCTTTTTCCAAATTATTTAGTAATTTAGTAAAATTATCGTCTTTCATTAATTGTTTGATTTGAGGACCGATAAATATCCCCTCCTTTATTTTTGCATCGGATATAGAGGGAAATTTTGTTTTTAAATAGGCGAAGCCGGGCCCTGATTTATCCATTGCTTTAACGAAGTTTTTCATTATTCCTAATTTTATGTGCAGTGGTGGTAAATATACTTTTTTAGGGTCGATTAAGTTGTAATGTTGTACGTTTTTTTCGCCTGGTATTAACTGCTGTCGTGGTGACCAATCTTTTTTCGTATAGTGTTGTTTCCTATCCCTACTGTCCCACTCACAAAGGAAACAGCAATGCTTCGTATAGCCCAGCCGAATGCCCAGTAATATTGCAATTACTTTCAGGTCCCCACACACATTCCAATTGTATTTGTTATATTGGATTCTATTCAAAACTATTTTTAGGCTTTCGTGTGATTCTTTCATATTTGCGGAATATGCAATTGGGATAGATGGATGTATGTTTCCAATATGGAGCAAAACTGCTTTTAAACTGTATTTTGATGAGTCTATGAATAGTCTCCATTCCTTTGGATCATGTTTAAAACCCAGATTTTTTATCAATTCATCTACATCAGTGCAAACACAAAGCTTTTCATGCATCTGAAAGAATTGTTCAAAATTATGTTGCCGTGCTCTAAAATACGTCACTTTGGTTGCTTTGTTCAACAAATTCCATTCCTGTAGACGAGATGCTAAAAGCTCTGCTTGATTTTTTGATAAATCCAAGTCTCGCACGAGATCGTTAAGGTCGGATTGAGTTAAAAGATGCGGTTCTTTCGATGATGCTGCACACTCTATTTCATAATCTTCTGTTTCTTCAATTGTTGTTTCGATTTGATCTTCTGGAGTATTCTGGCGTGTATGAGAACTAAGTGGTGGTGGTGCCGATACAGATACTTCTGGGCGGGTGGCGGAAGATACATCTGGGTATATAATTTTCTTCTTTCCTTTCTTATTAAATCCACTAATTTTGCATAAACAAAAGTAACAGTCGATAACATGATCGCTTGACTCTCTCCATACCATTGGAATTGTGAATGGCAGACTTCTGTTATTTCCTCTTGTCCAAGCTAAAAGTGCGGAGGCACAACGTTGACAACTGTTTGAGATTGAAGTGAACTGTAGAGATTTTCATTGAGATGCCGGTTATGAGAGGGTTCGCGAAAAATGACTATGGTGCAAAGTTAATTAAACAAGGTCTTTATTAACAACATTGTCCCGTTGTGAAATACATAATTAATGAGCGGTACGTTAAGTAAGAGTTTTACACGAGCGGTTATGAGAAATGGCGATATTATTGATCGCCATTTCTGAGCGCGAGTGAGAATGAGAATCAACCGTTTATTACGAGTTTAAAACTCATAATACCCTTGCAATTATATTAATTGCAAGGGGTTTATGAGCGTGAGCCTTGATAATTTGTTGTGAATTAATTACATTGACCACAGTAGATTATGTGCGGCACAAAAGAACAAAGGAAACTACGATTGAAAAACAGAGCACACTTGTCGCGTTTGAGATTACGAACAAGACTGCTTAATGGCCGCGCTCGTGGTCACCACGAGGTTTCGACCGGCCGGTAGCGAGATCGTTGCGCGCGCAGGTGGGCCAGCTATCCTGCTCGCGCACAAAGTGTGCCCGAGAGGTGCTGCCAATGAGCGTCGTGGTGGCCACGGCATGAGCGAAACATTGAAAGGAAACAAGGCACGTGCGTGTTGCTAAAAATGAGAGTTAATTCTCGAACATTCCGCCCGCCATCAGCCACTTGTGGCTGATGATTCCGCTGTTGGTAGGATGTTTTGGCGCCTCGTCCTTTCCAAGTTTTGAGAGTGAGTGGACCGGCATAGTCCATGCCGGTATGAGAGAATGGCGATGACGGTGTGACTCGAGAAAGAGGTAGTTGGCCCATCAGCTGATGGGCACGGATCCCCCTTTGGCGAGCACACGTCAAACACCGCAGAATATGAGCCTTGACTGGAGCTCTTCCTCCGATGATCCAGTAGGTTTGTCGAATGTAGGCGAGTGTGAGTTGAGTTCCACCATGAAGAGTTTGTTTGTGAGCGTGATCTATAATCAATTCAGACAAACGTGAGTGGCGAGGCAAAATAGCGGGATGTTTACCCTCGTAGCGGAGCTGAGAGTTTTCCAATCGTCCGCCGACTCTGATGATTCCCTTATCATCAATGAAGGCAGTCAGGTGACTGAAGGCATGAGATGAAGGCAGCGATGAGTGTGAGGTGAGCATCTTCATTTCATGAGCGAAGTAGATGGTCTGAGTTGCCCTGATCCAGAATTTCTGAGCATCTTCCAGATCACTCGGCGAGTGTGAGGTATAGGCTGGTGAGCAGTGGACCCCTTTTAATTTTGCTATAAATCTGAAACAAATAGCAGTGATGGTGAGAAGTTTCTTGAGCGTTGAGTATTTGTGAATGAGATCCCACTGATACTCGATCTTTTGGGAGATGAGCGCAGTAGGAATACTTGGACGCGCTTCTAGTGCACATGAGGCGTCCTTGAGCTTCGGTTGTGATGGCCATGAGTCCTGGGGTTGAGTAAGCCATGGTGGTCCCGTCCACCATAGCTGATGATGTTCAAGCTGAGCAGTTGAAAGGCCTCGTGATGCGCAGTCAGCTGGATTCGATGTTCCAGACACATACCCCCAATGTGCCTCAGGTGTGAGTTCTTGTATCGCCAATACTCTGTTTCTCACATAATCCTTCCAGCGTGATGCGTGAGATTTGATCCATATGAGTGTGACTTGAGAATCCGTCCACAAGTGAGTTGTAGCAATGTTGAGATTGAGCTTCGCTTGAACATAGCTTGCCAGCCTTGCAAGCATAAGAGCTGCTGTGAGCTCCAGTCTCGGGATAGTGAGTTTCTTGAGAGGTGCGACCTTCGTCTTGGCGCACACCTGTGACGTCACCTTGAGATTTGTGGACGGTGAGAAGACCGTGATGTAGATCACGGCTGCCATGGCGAGCTGAGATGCATCAGAGAAACCGTGTATTTCCACCACTGAGTCTTGACAGGTGTTGAACCAGCGTGGAATTGAGAGTCTGGCCAGACTTGTGAGATCTTCTCTGAGGATGAGCCATCGTGCTGTGATGTGGGATGGTAGTGATTCATCCCAGTTGAGTTTGTGCAGCCATAATTCTTGCAATAAAATCTTACAGCGAATTATGACCGGTGAGAGGAAACCAAGTGGATCAAATATCTGTGCTACTTGAGATAGTATGAGGCGTTTACTTATCTTGGTTGGGGGTGAGAATGAGTCCTCCTTCGATGAGAATGTAAATGTATCCTTGAGAAAATTCCATTGCATTCCGAGTATTTTGGTTTTGCAGTCGTCCAATGAGAGTGATGAGCCTTGAGCATGAGCTTCAGGTGAGATGGCTTCGAGTAGCGCGGGGCAGTTTGAATGCCACTTAGCAAGTGGGAAACCGCCCGCGTTGCACAGACCTTGAAGCTGATGAGCGAGTTTCTTGAGATCTTCTGGTGAATCTGCTCCTCCAAAGATGTCGTCGACATATCTGGCATGAGTGATCGATGGTACGGCCAGAGGATAATGATGACCTTCATCCTCAGCTAATTGCAGCAATGTTCTGACCGCAAGATACGGTGCTGCCTTGGTACCGTAGGTGACCGTAGTGAGCTGAAATTGAGTCTCTTGCAGGTCCTTATCCACCCACAATATTCTTTGCAGATCCCAGTCGTCTTCATGCACTCTGATTTGCCGATACATTTTGGTAATATCGGTTGAGAATGTGTATCTGTGCTGACGAATCCATAGGAGCACGTCAGTGATGTTGAGCAGTAGGTTTTCACCAGTGTGCATGATGTCGTTGAGAGAATATCCAGAAGATGTTGAGCTTGAGCCATTGAAGACAACTCTCAGCTTCGTAGTCGTGCTGTCTGGTTTCAAAACACCATGATGAGGCAGATAGAAAGTTGTTGAGTGTTGAGATGAGCGCGATGATGCTCTCTTCATGTGCTGCAGATTCTCGTATTCCTCCATAAACTCTTGATAGAGGTGAAGATCTTCTTCATTCCTCTTGAGCTTGCGTAGAGTACGATTCAAACAAGCATGAGCGATGTTGTACGAGTTTCCCAACATGGTTGAAGGCAGTTTGAGAGGGATGCGCACGATGTATCGCCCATCCGGATCCCGCAAGTGAGTTGTTCTGAAGTGATCCTCACACTCTTGCTCTTTAGGGGTGCGTTGAGATTGGTTGGTGATTGGAACCTCTTCCTGTGTCCAGAATTTCGTCAAGAGATGTTGGAGAGACGATTCTTCTTCTTCTTGAGTTGAAACCTGGTGAGATGTGAGCGCTCGAGTTGATGCTGAGCCCACTGGTCCAATAACCAACCAACCAAAGATTGAGAGTTGAGCGATAGGCGTTGATGGTAAACCCTTGATGAGATTGGGCTTGATGACATGCCCGTAGGAATCTGCACCGATGATCACGTCGATTGAGCGAGGCACCATGAAGTCTGGGTCAGCGAGCTTGAGATTTTTGAGATGAGGCCATTCTTGATGATCCACGTTGGTTGATGGCAAGATGGTCGTCAATGTTGGAAGAACGTGAGCTCTGAGTCTCACTGATGCGTTGCTGTAGTTGGAATGCAACGTCAATGACACAATGCCTCGAGTAGTTGTTGATTTTCTGCCACCAATGCCAATGATCGACATTGACGAGTGTGAGCGTAGAAGATTGAGCTGCTTGATGAGATCTTCCCTAACAAAGGAGACCTCTGACCCAGAATCAATTAAAATTCTTACTTGATGTTTTGCCACCGTTGAGATGACGTGAGCGGCTGCCGTTGCCAGCAGCGTGAGCGATGGATGAGCCTGGATTGAGCGTGAGTGTGTTGTTGAGTGGACGACTGCACCTAGTTCTCAATTGCTGCGAGCGGAGGGTTGAGCGGTGGTTGTGCGGTGGAGCATCGAGTGATGATGCCCCTTGCACTGCTTGCAGCGTTGGGCTGAGCGGCAATTTCTTGTGGAATGACGCCCGCAGCAATTTGAGCAGAGCACCAGATGCTCCACTGCCTTCCATCGGTCGTTAATGCTCATTTCCCGGAACCTTGAGCACATGACGATGAAGTGGTCGCCGTGGCATATGTCACACGGATACCTCCCGGGATCTTGAGCGGTGTAGGCGTTGTCGATATTGGTGGCGCGATGAGCAGGAGCGGTTGAGGCATGGGCGGTGGCAGCATGAGCGGTGGTTTTGAGAGGTGGCTTCGTTGCCACGGGCTGATCCTTCGCTGCCGCGGCTTGGCCCAAGCCTTCGAGCGCTGTTACCCGCGCCGCCACGAAATCTCGTACTCTTGTGAGAGGTGGGAAGTCGTTGCTCGACCCGATCTCGTGCTCCCACGCCTCCCGTGTGGTCCTGTCCATGTTTCTGACAAGGCAATGGACCAGGATGGCGTCTCCGATGTCTGAGACTCCCAGTGCGGCGAGGGAGGTGGCCACATCATGAATCGTGGCTGAGAGGCTGCTGAGTGATGTTGCGTTTCGTGGCGGCACGGGTGTGAGGAGTTGGAGTTTGTCCAGCTGGGAAGTGATCAGCAACCTCTTGTTGGAATATCGGGCAGTGAGTGTGTTCCACGATGGGATGAAGGATTTCCCGACGAGTGGAAGGTTGCTGATCAGTCGGGCTGGTTCTCCTTTGAGCGCCGATCGTAGGTAATGAAGGCGCTCAATGTCGTTGAGCGCCCCATTGTCGAGGATGAGCGATGTGAACATATCCCTGAAGGTGGGCCACTCGTTGAAGCTCCC